AAAAGTCTTTTTTAGGAGATTGGCAATACAGATAAGTAAAAGAAGACTAGCAATAATAAGCACTAAAGTTTTATGAGAATTCACAGTGGCTTGATGCCTTCCAATGTAGGTGAGCCAACCACTCACAGTTTACTTCTGCACAATTAAAACGGTCAAGACATAGTGAGCATTCACACCATGCCTGACACTTACGTAAAGCCATCAGCTCATCTGGTCCTCTTGGCCATTTCTCCCTCTTTTCAGTGAGGAGGGAACTGAAATACTGTAAGGCCAAACAAAGTCAAACAGCACTCAGCTGCCCAGACAGGCAACAGCAGCTGGTGACTGTCAGTCACCCTTATGCTGACAAGATAAAAACCCACTGGCCTGTGGCCTTGTGCAGAATCAGCAGGACAAATGTTCCTTAACAACAACGGGGTACTTTTTATATTGCCTGGCTTAACATATGTACTGTATGGGTCCTAGGAGATTGTGTCCATAATTTTCTTTTCTCACCACATTCTGATATCTGCTGCCCAACCTCCCTCCGTGTGCAGAGTATGGAATATCATTTCTAAAACAATGACCTGTTTGTTATATTCACGAGGTTACTTTTCAGAGATTTCATTACATTTCTATCATCGATTTAAACTTTTTCCTTTCTTTTTTTTTTTCCCTGAGCATACACACAGGAAGTATACCATAAAACAATTCTTGACCCACTATGAGAGCTTTCATTGGGAAGCTGCTGGAGAAACTACAAACGTGCTGTCCCATTTGGTTGTCAGGGAGAGAAGACACAATTCAAAGAGAGAATTTCCTGGCTTACATATGAGATCAAGGGATAATCTCAGTTCCTGCAAAACTTGGTTCTTTTCGTCTTCTTCTAGGGTCCCTGGCCCATCTCCCCTCCCCCTCCCCCACCCCAGATGTGAGCCTCCTGTGGGCTTTGTTTTCAGGCAAGCCATCCCCACAGTCTCAGGTTGTGAGATGACTGCAATAGCCCCAGGCCCTCCATCTTCTCAACCAGATTTCCTAAAACCTTTCTTTCCTCTAAAGGTATCTTAAACTGTAGGCTTGAGTGGAGTGCCCTGTATTCGAATGATTCAACAACTGGAGAGAGGGATGGTGCTTGTGACCTCCTGGCCAATCCAAGACTGCTACTTCAAGGGGACATGGTCCACCATAGCCACACCCTGAGTGTGGGAGGGACCTTCTCCACAAGATTTGGGGTAGATTCACACTATGCAGATACACTGGAAGTCGGTAAGGCTAACTCTGGAAGGTCAGGTAAGAAAGACCAGATGTTCAAGAACTGGTTTCTGACATTCAGCAGGAAAACTGCCAGCAACACCTTGGAAGGGGTGTGCTCTCTCAGGAGCACCTGCCACCAACACCAAAACGAGAGAGAGGCACTCCTGTGGATTTACAGGAAAGACAGGGGAGGAAACCCTGAGCTGCTCATGAGAAGCTTTCTTGTCAGATGAAATCAGTGCAGAGAACAATGACAAGGGGAAAAAAAAATCAGTGGTTCACATGTGAACTCCAGCTGCCTTTGAGGAAGAGATTAATACAGGCTCAAAATCTGTTGTCTACCACTGCTCTGAAGCCCTGGAAGGAAACTATGAGCAAGCAGTGGAATGTACACTGAAATCTCAACACCTACAACCCACACCTGGTCTAGCATCAGAGCCCAGGCTCTTGTCCGCCTGAAAGCAGCAATGCTATTTGTCACGAATAAGACAGAATTACCATGCTCAGGTGTTTGTACACACAAGTACCTAGAAGCAACTGAACACATTTAAGTCAATGGCAATAAGCCAGGAGTGCTTACATGATGAAAACTAACTCCTAGGTAAAAGTATGGATAATTAAGAGTAATTTTAACTGCACGGAATGTTTTGCCCACTAACTTCCTGTGTGGTAGGTTATAATTCTTTTACAGCCAACATGCTGCAATACTCTAAATATGACTCCCATCTGGCCAAAATGATGAATCATGGTTATTTTTATTATAGCCAATGGATGACCGTGGCATATCCCTTCCAAGGGTCAATAGATAATATATTTGATTAACTTCCTTATAAAACCTGTGAAGCGTGCAGCATTCCACTCCGTGGACAACTGAGATGAGGTTTTTCCTCAAATAACTACAAAAGAATTATAATATTTCTTCAATTTCAGCATTATGGAAAATAAAGTGCTAAAAGTAGAAGTAACAAATCCTCTAACATTTAATAAAATATTAGCGCTCTCAGTTTTGAAAGTGGTCAGGCACTGGGTACACAGAACCCAAAGTAATTTAAATTCTAAGAAGTCTATTTTTATTTAAACATTCAATTTTGAAATCCTACCAATCTCAAAAGTGAAGTGGACAAAAACAGGAGACACCACAGAAGTCAACAAAGAAGAATTCACATACATCACTTGGAGAAACAGTGCAACGGACACCAGGATGCTAGAACATCACTGGGAGAAACAGCACAATGAGACGTGAATTCTATAAAAATCAGATTTTTTTATGAGTTCAAACCCCAGTAGTGCCACACACCAAAACAAAACAACTCAGCAAAATACTGCTTTTAACCTACCTAAATCACAAGTAACCTAAGGCACACTAAAACATGGGTGCCCTGAGCAGCACAGCTTGGGAGAACTGCACTATTGCTGATGGGTGTTTTGGAAGGAAAGGGAGTACTATAAACACTTGACCTGGAATGCACTGGAAATACGTTCTTAAAGTGAAAATTTTAATTTCATCCCTTTGAATTATTTGACATTGCACTCACACTCCTCCACACGCTTACCCTTTAACACAAAATACAACGCGCACAGGTTCACACCACCGGTCAGCGTGAGGACTCCACATCTTGTAAGAGGGAATGAAGAAACAGGATGGCTTATGGACATAAAGTGCCAGCTCCCTGACAGGTCGTCTTTGAGAGCAAATCCCACTCTTACTGGATAAGACCTCTGAGTGCTACAGAGTGGGTGGTAAGGCTGAGGCAGGGCGATTTCCTATTTCCTCTCAGTAAGTCCATGACTTCCCCCAGCCCAGAAGTTCTCAGAGCACCCCTGTATGGCCTACAAGCCATGTGGCCAGATGTGGGGGTATAGAAAAATTCTAATTTGTTCTCTTCCAAGTGATGAAAAGTCACACCATGTAAAAGGAAATGGTAGGGCACACTCTACAATTACCATGGGAGCCAAATCTGTGAGTCACCCAGCTGCCTGCACAAGATGATTTGGTACTGGAAAATCCTGATTAATGACATTTTTTTTAAACACCAGAGTAACAACTTGACCTGCCAAAAATTACTATTTTTTCATCATTTCACCTTTTTTTTTTTTGCCATAGCTATTACTTTTTGCAGAGGATATGGAGGGAATAAAATGAAAATCGTGCTGTGATGCACCTTAACTTCAAATCTAAATGTTCTTTCCAAAGGGTGTTGAGGTGGAGGGCAGCTGTTAGGCCTGCCTCAGACTTGTAAGAGTCCTGAACTGGCCCTGGACTATCTCGGGCCATGCTGAGACACTAGGTTGTTTTCTAATTACAAGTGTGATTAATTCACCCTCTGCAAATAAGACTTTTCTAAAAAGCACAGTTTACTGGGGTCTGTGGATCCAAGTCTGATACAAGGTTGCACCAGGATGCACTCATGCTGGTCTCCCAAGGCCCCGAGTCATGGGCGCTAGCTGCCTCCTGCCTTCAAGTCCAAGACGCCAGGAAAAGCGGCTGCGCTTTGTATCTCGATCTCTGAAACCACCCACAGCCAGGGCTGGCTGAGTTCATCCACGCGGAGGATGAATTCGCTGCCCATCGCTTTATTTTTAATCGATACAAGACAGCCGCTGCTGATAAGTCACCCATTCGGGATTCCAACCCTGGCTGGAACCGCCATTCATTTGCGAGAAGCGGGCGGCTGGCACAGTGTTCGCCAAGAAGTGTGGAGGAGCCTCGCAGGGTGCTTCGAGTTTCGGGTGCGAATCGCGCAGCAGCCGGCGCTCCCACTCCACCTGCGACCCTCTCCGCGCCCCTCCCCGTGTCTCCCAACTCTCTCTAGAGCTCCCCACCCATGTCCCCTTCCAGGCTCCGAAGCATCTCCCACGGGCAGCACAGCCGCGCGAGGAGGGCGGCTGAGTGGGAGAGGCGCCCCCGCCCCGCCGGGCCCCACCTGGCCCGCGCCAGGCAGAAGAGCCGGTGCCTGCCGCCCCCCACCCCCTCGCCGCGCAGGGCTGTAATAATTACATCCTCGTTATTTCTTCTGCGATCGTTAGGGAAGGAGCCCGAGAACAGCAACAGCCGCTGCCGGGGGAGGCTTAGTTACAAAACCCTGCGCTGGGTAGCGCCTCGCTTAGCAACCACCCTAAAAAAGCCCCTGTGCTCCTCGCTCACACTTGGAGAGCGGGGCGGCGGCCACCCCCTCCCGGCGCGCACCCCTCGGCCCCGCTGGTCGCTGCAGCTGCTGCAACCCGGCACAAGTGGCCCCTCTCCGCCTCCGCGACCCCCGCGGCGCAGCCCGGGCTCCCCGCACCTTTCATTCATTGCCGGTGCTGTCTGCGTGCCCACCCTAGACTTGGGGGAGGGCGCACACAGGTCGCTGGCTGTCACCCCTATTCCCTCCAGGTTATCCCACCATAACCCACCTCCAGCCCCCCCCCCGCCCGCCGGCCCCCCCACCCCGCGAGCCGGGCCCCCTCCTAGCGGGGTCGAGCGGTGAATTTCACACCTCGGTGGCGCACAGCTCCACGCCCGCTCCAACACCTGGGCAGTCCGGGGTCTTGGGATCCCAGGCCACGACGCCGCGACCTCGGCGCCGGACCCCAAGCACTGGCTGCCCCCGATCCCCTCGCGCTCCGGCAGCGCGTCCCCAGCCACCCCCGCCCCCAACCCAGCCGCCTACATGGCCCACCCGTGGGTCGGTCATGCCTCGCTGACCCTCCCCGCCCCGACGGCTCTAGCCGCCTCGCCCCCGGGTCCCCTCGTCCCGGTCCCCGCGGACCCGGGCGGCTCGCACCTTTCTCAGGACAGACATCCTCGGGCGCTCCTAGTTCAGCAGGTGCGGGGCTTCATGGCGAGGTGGCTAACCCCTTAGGTGGGGCGGCGCGCGGGATCCCACAGCCGGTTCCCAGGCTTGCGGGTTTGTAGGTCTGTGCGTCCGTCCGCGGTCGGTCTGTCCGCCGCCACCACCGCCGCCGCGCGCTCCGACCGCGCTCCAGCCCCGCGCACGGTCGGTCCTCACGGCCGGCGCCTGCGCACTCGGCGCCCGGGGAGGCACCAGCGCACTGGGGGGCGGCAGGCGCGCGGCTCCATCTGGGGAAGGGCCCGGCGCCCGCGCGCCTCCGGAGAGCGCCCAGGGCGCAGCGCGGCGGCCACCCGGCAGCCCGGTTCCCCGGCCGCCGGGCGCGCACGGCCCGGGAGCGCGCGCACAGCCCGCCCTCCGCCGCGGCAGCGCAACGCCGGCCCCAACTGTTGCGCGGAGAGCGGCGGGTCACTCGGGGACAGCTAGGGCGCGGGGGTGCTGGGGATGTCCTGCACCGCACGTGCTCGGCGCTCTTGAAAGTTAGCAGGGCAGTCCACGCACACCCTTCCACGCTAGGGAAGGTCCCCTGGACCGAGAAGAGGGATCTGCCGGCGCGTTCCTGCGCGGGACTGGGGTGCAATGTGAAGTCTTCTCCGCACCTATGGGCCGGGACAAGATATGTCCTTTAGGTGTTTGCAAAACATTCCTCTGCTGAAGCATGCAGAGGCTATGGGCGCTGTGAAACGGAACCTCTCACTGTTTCCGCCGGGTTTCTTCCCTGCAGATGAATTGTGGGGTGCTATGCTCACAGGAAAAAGGCGGATCTACCAGTGGTGTTCCCGGACCCCACGTACCTGTCTCTAGTTGTTAATAAGACTAGTCCGGACGCTGTGAGAGGGGTCAAATGGTGTCCCTGCCTGCTCTGCTCGCTGCAACAAAATATACCTGGCAGGGTCCTAGAAAAAAGACTGTCATCCATTCATCCAGTAGAAGTTGCGTTGACAACGTGCTTCAGGATGGCAAATCACCAACATTGGCCATATTGAGATGGACTCTAGTTAGATTGATGGGAAAGCACTTCCGAGGTCGAAGGGACTGTCCCAAAAAGAAGGTACTGTGGCCTTGAGCAGAAAAACACAGTGGGGACCTGAGACCTAGTTTTGCTCTGGGCTGTATCACTGTATAGCTACCTGACCTTGGGCAAGTCACCTCGCCCATTTTAATGCAAACACAGTAGTGGACTTTCCCATATTTCCAACTGTGTCATTGAGAAGTAAATGAGATTTTTAAATGTGACCAAAAAAGAAAAAAGCTAGGCTCTGTACTTCACTTCTGTAATCCTAGCTAATGGGGAAGCAGAGATCTATCTCAACCAATGAGCTGGGTGTGGTGGTGGTCTATGCCTGCCATCCCGGCTAGGAGGGGAGCCTAAATAGGAGAAGCAGTTTCCAAGTCACCACAGTATGAACCAAGACCCTATTTGGAAAAATAACTGAAGCAGAAAGGGTTGTGGGTATGGCTCAGGTGGGAGAGTGCAATTTCTGGAGTTCAAACCCCAGTACCCAATAAATAAATAAATAAATAAATAAATATGACACAAAACTTAAACACCAAGATGAATGTTTGGAGGAAGATGAATGGGGGCTGGAATAAAACCAGGCAATCAAAGATATTTGACATGGAACAAACTAATCTTCACCAGCAACTCCAAGATCATTAAACAAAAAGTCTCCCTAATGTTTTTTCATCTAATCCATCACTCAAATATTATTCAATTTCAGTTTATTTTCAAAACAAAGTGTTAAATGATGAGGGGGGTACAAAAATAAATCAAAGAAATCTGACTGTGATGGTTTCTCCTGAGTGCTTCCAGCATCTTCCAATTTGTTTTCACTGTCCAAAACCAGTCAATTGTGGCATGTCAACCCTCAACTAAAAGTCTAGATTCCAGACCAATTTTAAAATGTACTATTCGTTTGCTCTCCTCTTACTATTTGTTCCCATGTTTTATTCATTCTCTCATGCAACAGTAACAACAAAAGTAACACAAATGTGCTAAATGCTTATCATGTGTGAGCAAAACAAACAAACAAACAAACAAAACAGACCATCACTGATCACTTGGATCTTCCACTCTAGGGAGGGAGTCATGTTCAAAGTGACAGGAGTAATGTGTGACCATGAATTACAATTGTTTTTCTGAAGGCAGTTAATACTGTTTGTGATCTCAGGGAAGAACTCTGATGGCATCATTAGGATAAGACTTTGTGTTAGTTACTCTTAGGTTGCTGTGACAAAACACCTAAGTGAACAACTTAAATGAGGAAGGGTTTATTTTGGTTCACAGTTTCAGAAGATGCAGTCCATAGTTGATTGGCCCTGTACACTTGGGCAGAGCATCATGGCAGTGGGAGGATGTGATGGAGAAGCTTTTTCACCTTGAGGCAGGCAGGAAGCAGAAAGAGCCAGAAAGGAAGGGGGTCAAGATGCCCTCAAGACTGACCCCTAGAGACCTACTTCTTCCAGCTAGATCCCTCCTCCTAAAGTTTCTTAAAAAAAAAAAAAAAAAAAAAATAGCACCACCAGCTGGGGAACCATGCCCTTAACACAGATGCCTATGGGGAACATTTCATATTAACATAATGTTGTGCTCTTGCCCCCCAAAGGCTCATGGCCCTCTCATAATGTAAAATGCATTTAGTACAGCTCCAAGTCCCCAAAGTCTTCACAGTTCCAACATTGTTCAAAAGTCCAAATTCAAAGTCTCCTCTGAGACTCCAGGCAAACTCTAACTGCAAAGCCCTGTAAAATCAAAAAGAAAACTACATACTTCCCACAAAAAAGGGCACACAGTAAATATCTCCATTCTAAAAGGAAGGGTGGAAAAAATGGGACAAAAGCAAGACTGAAACCCAGCAGAGGAAATAGTCCTGTAGATCCAGGTCTGGGCATGTGGTGTTGTGATGTAAGCTCTAATAGGCTTAGGTAACTCTCCTCTTGTGGACTTGCTTCCCTCTTGGGCTGGCTCCACTCATTGCCTGCTGCTTCCCACAGCAGGTGTTTCACATTCCTGGCATCTCCAACATCCTGAGGTCTCTGCAACTTAGGATTCACCCTCACATGAGCTGTCTGCAGGGATCCTGACCCTACCACACATTCCTGACCTTCCTTTGAAATCTTGGTGGAAGCCTCCATGACCCTGTAACTCTTGCATTCGGCTTGCACAATCACTATCATGCTAATGCAGCCAGCTTAAGCAGTATTCAGGCCCCCTTGGGTTATGACTGTAAGTGCCTGGGTGGCTAAACCCAGGAAAACACTTCCCTAGGTGGTCCTGTATAAGCAAGCCGCCCCTGTGACTCTCTTTTCATGGAAAAGTCTTTTAAATGAGTTTGTAATTTTACAACCTGGAGCCTGTGATGGGTGGGATAGAGCTAATTTCTGAAATGCCCTTGTTAATGGTGCTGGTACAGTCTGTGATCAGAAGTCTTCCAAATTCTTTGTGTCCCATGGGAAGAATCCTTCACAGGACACATGGGTATAAACGGAGTTTATTAAAGGTTAGGAGAAGAAAATACAAAGGGAAGCATGGTGTGTCCCAGGTGGAATTTGGAGGCCAAGAGAGCATGCCTTTCTCCTTTTCAGGTACTTTTGAAACCTACATTAACCCATGGGAAGGGAATAACCAGGTGATTTTCATCCAATAATCAATGAGTGGGGAGGGGAATGGGTGGTTCCCAGGTCAGGTGAGGGTGGTCCCCAAGCCAGAGCATGGTTAATCTGAGATGTAATATTTTTCTCTATGATTCTCAAACTTTCCCTAATTCTAGCCTGCCTCACCCTCAAGGCATCTTTCCTATTGTCCCAGTGCCAAGTGCTTGGCTTCTCTGTAATGGCGCTAATCTCTTTAATGCCACATCCTCCTTGTCCATAACTTCCAAGTAACCTTTCTGCTCTGCTTTTTGCTCCAAGTACTCCCTGTAAACATGGCTAGCAGCAGTCAGCAATAACCATGCCACAGTCTGAATGCTGTGCAGTTTTGAAATTTCTCTACCAAATTGATTAGTCTATTGCTTTTAAATTCAGCCTCAAAGTATCAGGGCATGGACAAAATGCAGACAAATTTTTTGACAGGATATAACACAAATGCCCTTTAGGCTAATTCCCAACAGAGTTCTTATATCCACCTAAAATCTTATGAGCTCAGTCTTCACTGTCTGCATTTCTATCAGCATCCTGGTCTTCTGAGCTCCCACCAGAATCCCCATTAAGCTAGTTTACAGTAGCCTAGGCTTTCCCTCACTTATATCTCCAAATTTTCCCAAATTCCTACCACACACCAGTTTCAAAGGCTAAACAACCACATGGTCAGGTTTAGTCAAAGAAATTACCCCACTTTTCTTATACTTATTTTCTGAATATTTTACTTCTGCATTGCTGTGACAAAATCCCTGAGGGAACTACTTAAGGAGGAAGAATTCATTTTGGCTCACAGTTCCAGAGAATTCAGTCCCTGGTGTCTGGGCCCCATGTGTTTGGGCACAACATCATGGTGGAGGGAAAATCTGCTTCACTTCCTGGCAGATAGGAAGCAGAGAGAAACACACAAGAAGAGGCCAGGGACAAGACTCCCCAAGAATTTGCCCCTAGTGACCTACTTCCTTCTGCTAGGCCCCACTTCCTAAAGTTTCCAAAACCATCCAAAATAGCTCCACCAGCTGGGAGCCAAGCCGTTAACACATAAGCCTATGGAGACATTTCATATTCAAACCAGGTTCTCCCCAAGCAGGTCCTGAAACACAGATTTGAATGCAGATTTATTTGAAGTAGAAAAAGTGAGACTGGGAAGGAAACAAAGTTAATGAAGGATGTGTTAGCAGGCTGGTCATTCCTATATGCAGTGTGGACTCTGTCCTGCTGAGGATTCTGTGAGGAACAGTAAGGAATACACCTCCTGATGGGGAGGCTGCACATTTTCTGAGCTGACTGCCATACCCAGCAACTGATGATTGCTCCCTCTTACCTTGTATTCCCTCTGCTGAGTAATTCCGATAGTTTCAAACACAGCCATCAGCAGGATTTGAGATGAATGTGTGAAGTCAGAGATTGGCATCTGCCAGAGCCCTGAGGAAGATAGGACTTA